GAACACAAGCCATTCCCCAATTGATAAATGGTCAAAGGATATGAACAGACAGTTCTCAGATGAAGAAATTAAAGCCATCTATAGTCATATGAAAAAATGCTCTAAATCATTATTGATTAGAGAAATGCAAATCAAAACAACTCTGAGGTACCACATCACACCTATCAGATTGGCCAACATGACAAAACAGGAAAATGATAAATGTTGGAGAAGATGTGGGAAAATTGGAACACTAATGCATTGTTGGTGGAGTTGTGAAATGATCCAACCATTTTGGAGAACAATTTGGAACTATGCCCAAAGGGCTACAAAAATGTGCATACCCTTTGATCCAGCAATAGCACTTCTAGGGCTATATCCCAAAGAGATCAAACAAATGGGAAAAGGACCCACATGTACAAAAATATTCATAGCAGCTCTTTTTGTGGTGGCAAAGAATTGGAAATTGAGAGGATGCCCATCAACTGGGGAATGGCTGAGCAAGTTGTGGTATATGAATGTAATGGAATACTATTGTGCTATAAGAAATGATGAACAGGCTGACTTCAGAAAAACCTGGAAAGACTTATATGGTCTGATGCTGAGTGAAGTGAGCAGAACCAGAGGACTTTGTACACAATAGCAGCCACGTTATGCAATGACTAAGAATGTTAAACTGAACCCTTCTCAGCATTATGAGGATCTAAGACATTTCCAGAGGTCTCGGGATGGAAAATGCTGTTCACATTCAAAGAAAGAACTATGGAAGTCGAATCGCTCTCACTTATTTTTACCTTCTGCTGAGTTTTGTTTCATCTTTCTGATGGTTCCTCCTATTGGTTTTAATATTTACTTACAACTTCACTAACGTGGAAATATGTTTAATGGGTATGTAAATGTAAAGCCTATGTCAGATTGTGCACCGTCTTGGGAGGGTGGGGGGGAGAAAAAGGGAGAAAAAAGTTTTCAACTCAAAAGCATCTGGAAAAAAAATTAAAAAAATAAAAAAGAGATTTTGAAAAGAAAAAGAAAAATCAAATCATCTTAATGGATATTATTTTGATTATATTTGATTAATTATCATTTTGATGATATTGAGAGAGAGTAGAAATGAGTTTTGACAGTTTTTGACAGATCAACCCACAAGCAGTATCATCACTTAAATCTTCATGGAGAGTTAGTAGGAGTCATTATTTCAAGGGTAATACCCTGTTAGTGGAAAATATATGTTGACTCTATCTGAAGATGTGCATTCCAAAGTCCAATATTAGGAGTTTGTCTAGGCCAACTTTTTAGTGTTCACTTTTCACATGTTCTTAATGAAGTAAGTTGATTGTGCAATTTTTAAAAATTATGTAAATTTAAAACTCCCCTGATATATTGTTTCATTTATACCCAAAACTATGATCTCTAATGAAGGCAGTGACTGTATTTATATTTTGGATTCCACATAGCATTTATCATGTAGGACTAATATGTATTTGCTGATTGAATGAACACATGAAGACTGGTCACCCTTTGTGGTATTTAGAGACTTTGATTTTAACTCAGCTAGCAAAAAGCCACATAGGTCAACAATGTTTCCTTTGCCCATATTTTGGATTAAAGTATTTAAAATATACTTGAATTGTGTTACTCTGTTTGAAACATTCGGCCCAATAGCATAGGATCATGAATCCAAACCCTTCATTTTACAGATACCCAGAAGTGGCTTGCCCAGGGTCACACAGCTTTAAGTGTCTGAGGTGGAATTCAAACCCCAATGCTCAAAGTTTTATGGGGTTTTTTTTAATTAATATTTCAATTGTATTAATGATTACATATTCCAGTAGATTGCAACGAATGCTGTGCTTATTATGCTTCCTTCTCATAGTCTTCCTCCCCGGAGGTCAAGGAAGGGACCCAAAAACTTGTTCAGACTCCTTAGTGAAGAAATAAATTTAGTGTTCCTGAAGAGTCAGACACTAAACAACAGAACAACAAAAAATTTTGGAACCTTGTGCGTAACTTTATACTCACCATTTCTAGCTTCTAGAAATTCACTGTTTTCCCTGATCTATGTTTAGTATGTTTTTGAGATTGCAAATGTATAGTGACCCTTTGAGAAAGCAAATGCGTAGTGTTAACTTGTCATGGAATAGCAAAAATACCAGTTGGGGGTGGGGGCGTAGTGGAGGAAAAGGGACAATAGTTGTGGAAGAGAAAATAAATAGCAAAAATAAGTCAGAGAACAGATTCTTCTACTAGATTATTCTGTTGCCAAAAATCCTAATTTACTGAATTACATGACTTCATCCTTGATTAAAATTATAAATTCAAGTCCCCCAAAGACAATATACATTGATTATGTGCTTTTCTTCTGCCATAATTATATCAAGCATGAAAAAAATTTCTTCTGACTGTGCTTCTCCCATTCAGGGGTGTGTGTGTGTGTGTGTGTGTGTGTGTGTGTGTGTGTGTGTGTGTGTGTGTGTGTGTGTGTGTGTGTGTATGTAGGACATATTTACAGAAACAGTTTGGGTGACTTACCCAAGGTATTAATAGCTGGTAATGTAGTTGTGTTTAAAACCCAGGGGCTTGGGACTCATCTGTTTTGTGGTGTAGTATTCTGCTACTACCACATGTTCTGTCTTAAATGTATAAAAGAATCTGTTATTTAAAAGAATATTAGACTAGATCTTTAGGTAAAATGAGTAACCATACTTTAAGGTTCTCAACTTGATAAATCTAAAATGCCATGTATCAATTTTGTCTAAAAAGATTCTACCTATATCTGTATCTAAATTTATAGTATCATTATTGATTTGGTTTGGCAATTATTCGTACACACACACACACACACACACACACACACACACATCTAGGGAGTTTTACAAAGCTTAAGACATGCTACCAGCTGTCATTGTCTTCCAAAAGATTCAGGTAAGTGGAGGAACATGAGAAAATGAAGAATGTGGACCAACAGCTAGGGAATAGTGTGGCAGGAGAATAGGCAAAGTTACTGGAACCCCAGACTGTAGGATAGCCACAGGATGTCCTCTAGGTGTGTGGAATGGGTTAGCTTTTTTTTTTTTTGCCACCTGACATTTTAACACTAATCTGTTTAAGTGTTGCTTCATAGGTAAATATTAGGGTCTTTATTCAATGCAGAGTCATTAATTGAATTTACATCACCTCATAGAACACAATCTGAAAATCATTCAACATATTTAAATGAGTGAGCATCTACTATACACTAAGCAATATGCCGGCTACCGTGAGAGAAACGGAAGAATCATAAGAGATAGTCTCTGATCTCCATTTGATTTCAAGTTAGGAAGTTAAGATATAAAATCAAAGAGAACAATTCTGTCTAATCCATGATACTTCACTTTTTGATTCTCCTCTTTCCCTGAACAGACCTTTGCTTCTTTTACTGACATCTTCATCCACCTACTCCCTAATTATGAATAGCCCTCCCCTACCAAATATCTATTCCTTTTGGATGTAATGGGATATTGAAGCTGGAGAGGATGCTGGAGATTATCTAGTCCTATGTCCTCATTTCACATACAAGAAAACTATACCACAGAGGTGAAATAGTATGTCCCAGTCACACATGTCTTAGAGTGAAAGCTAAATGATCTGTTGATAGTTTAGCTGGGATCCTTGGCCAATTATGTTTTGAATTAGATGGACTTTTGATATCTCTTCCATTTGAGTTTCAGATTTTCTATAAAGAAAGAAGTTGAAGAGAGTATGGTCTTAAGAGATCCCTTCCCCCTATCCCTTCACTACTAAAGTTATTGGCAAAATGCCTTCAAATATTTAGGTGCTGCAAAGGCTGTTTTTGAGAAGAGTAGCTAATAGTATGATTTTGAAAATCCCTGTGTGCTGTAGTAAATTTTTATTAACAGGAGGGACCTTTTATAAGAGCTATAGAACAGAGATGTCAAACTTGGCCTTGCAAAACTCCCAAGTGGGACCTGAACAAAATAAAAGCCAGTACAAGATAGATAATGTTCATTTATGTTTGTTTTGGTTTTTTTAAGGGAATTGGGGTTAAGTGACTTGCCCAGGGTCACACAGCTAGTAACTGTTAAGTATTTGGTCTGAGGCCAGATTTGAACTCAGTTCCTCCTGACTTCAGGGCCGGTACTCTATCCACTGCGCCACCTAGCTGCCTGGATAATGTTCATTTATGGTTGTCTAAGTCAAGATATTCCCTATGGGTTTTCAATTTGAGTTTAACACCACTGCTGTAGAACATCCAAATCATCCCAACCCTCCCCTCTTCTAAATACCAGGTTGGGGTTCATTCATTGTCTCAGCAAACACTTATATTAGGTACTCAAAATTATTGTTTAACTATCTTAAGTTTAAGACTCTTAATAGCTATGTGACTCCAGGCAGGTCACTTGACCTCTGTTTGCCTCATTTTCCTCATGTACAAAATTAAGATGATAGCACCTACCTCTCAGGTTGTTATGAGGACCAGATGAGATCATTGTAAAGCATTTAGCATAGTGCTAGGCACATGGTAAGTCCAGAGAAGAAAAGACTTGGGGAGAGAGCAATAATCATATTTTAAGTGTTTATTTGAAAGATTATTATGTCTAAGAGAAATGAGATTTATATTTTTATTTTTATCATTATTAACATTTAACATTTCATATTGCTGACATATTTTAAGTCAAATTTATCATTTAGGTGTACTTTTGTGAGCTTTATATATACTTTGTTGGAGCTTCTCACAATCAATATTATTTGCGCCCATTTTATAGGATTTAACAAAATGTTATTATTTGTAGTGAGTATAGAAGTTTATGCTTGTTGCAGCTTTGTTTTATGTCATGTCTATCATATCAGTGTTTTGTTTTGGTTTTTAGGAGTTCCTAAGTCAGAAGTATAGCCTACATTGTTGGAAAATACAGTACCAACATTTGGGTTATTGGGGGCAACTTAACATAAAACAAGCCTGTGAGCTAGTTTCTATTTATCTTTTGATCTTTCTTTAGCAAAACAAATGCGCAGATTCTTACCTGACTGTGTTCCAGGTAGGAGGTCTCATTTGCCCTTACGGTTTCTTTCCTTTATCTCCACTTCATAGCAAATTAGAAAGGAAAAAAAAAGCATAGATAATAAGCTGCTTGTACTTTTTGACCTGAAGAATTGTTTTTTTTTTTTACTGCTTTATACTTCCCTCTTCCCTCTAATTTTTTTTTTGCTGATAAATGGAATTAAAAGTGTTTGACAACTAACCAAAAAACAAATGTAGTAGTGTTCATATGTTAAAAGGGAATATTACACTTTCCAAAAAATTCAGACTACTGAAGGGAAAGTCATTTTTAAGTTAATGGAAATTCTTAATTATAAGATATTTACAAAATTGAGTAGAGTTTAAAGACCTTGACAAATGAGAAATAGAATTGCTCAAAAACAGTGAAATACAATAGCAAAAATCCTGCTTACCATTTATATGGCACTTCGAAGTTTGCAAAACACTCTAAACACATTGTCTCATTTGAGGCTCACAAAAGCCCTTTTGAAGGGAGTACTGCAGATCAAATGGAAAGACTTCCCCATTTTTCAGATGAGGAAACTCACACTTCCTGATTTTAGAATTAGCACTCCATCCAGAATGTGCTGTTCTGTCTTTCATTTAGAAGACACTATATAGAAGCAAAACAAGGTGAATAAAATAGGAATGAAATAAAATTGCACATAATGATAGCATCCATTTATGCAGTGCTTCGAAGTTTGCAAAGCATTTTACAAATATAATTTAATGATCTAAGAAGGGCTGTTAAAAAAAGAAAAATTGCAGTATATTTAGGCATTAGTCAAATCCTAAATTAAGTATTAACTCAAGTTTTTGCCCCTGTGTTTTAAGAGAGCTATGGGGAAGTTTTAAAGCCTGTGGAAGAAAAGCAGAGGAAAATTTTCTTTAGTACTTCAGAAGATGTGTGGTGTCCTCATTTTGGGCATTTCCTCCATGGAAGCCTTAGTGGATGATGAGGCAATGGAAGTGCAGTAGAAAGAAAACCTGGGTTCAGAATGAAAAAGGCCTTGCTCTCTGAATGTCCTGGCACTCCTGCTCTCCTGCCTGGGTGTCTGTAGGCAAAGCACTAACCCTCTCTCAGGACTCATCCCTGCAGGTATAAAGCGGGGGTGGGGTAAAGATCTTGCCTTAGGAGCCCACCCTGGTTACTGTGGGCACACATTGGATCATAGAGCACATCCCCATAGTCTCCATTTTAAGCTTTAAGATCTATGTCTATTAAGGCTTAAAACTGTATGAAGACTTTTGGGACTCCCTCTGTATACAGGGTGCTTTGTAAGCTGTAGAGCTCTACACCAGGAATCCAAGGAGTCTATAGGGATCCCCTGTACAGATGAGCTAAGGTGTTGTTTAATAAATCATTGTGACCAAAAACGTTCATGAGCTGGTGGCCAGTGGTTTGGTGATGAGCCTCTCTGAATTCAGTCTGCTCATGGGACAATTATCTGTCACACGAACTTTATTCAAAACCTTCCAACCTGATAGGCCCAGCCAGAGAACAAAGGGTCACCATCATGATAAAGCATCAGAGGGGGAGACCTTCAGTGCTTGTAAATGTGGAAAAATTTGGTGGACTTGCCATCACAAGAATGGTGGTCAAGTCTCAGACCTGCTGTTGCTGTTTGGTGGTTAGATGACCCTTGGATTCTATCTCATCTTTATTTCCATAACTACCAAAGCATATAATCTTGGATCAAATAACGAATTCATCATTGAAAGATTTGGATCACAAATTTTTAAAGAAAAAGGATTTTTAAAACAATTACTATATCGTTCTATTTGTGAAGCCTTGCTGATTGTCTCCTGACATTCTGATATCCTAAAGCAATTCATGATTTTGGGGGGGCATAGAGACATAGTAAATACATGGTCACATCTTCATTAGAATTTTTATTCTATTTAAAAAGATGATTATCATGCCTTTTACATGATTAATAGGTTTTTATAATCTGTTGAATCAAAGCATCTATGATGTATTCATTATAGTAATATATCAGTATTTCCCCAAACTGAAGACTTTCTCGTATTTGAAATTTCATTTTTTTGTTGATGAGGAAAAATGTTTACATGTCTGTGTGTATACATATATATGTATATACACATGCATATATAGATATACACACACATATACACATGTACAAATGTATATATCTTTATTGTCTCTAAAAACATAAATGCCCCCCAAAATCATGAATTGCTTCAGAATATTTGAAAAGAGACGATTAGTGAGGCTTGACAAGTAAACTGTATGTTTTGGTACTTCTTCAAAGGAGAATTTAATTTTAAATAAGTTTTCTGTTATTGCTTTCTTTGAATAATGTAAAACATGTTTGAAGTACCTCTGAAATTATGTTGAAGGGAGTATTGTTTTGGATTTAAGCCTTCTGATTTGGTAAAGTTTGGGGAGCTATATTTCAATATCCTGTACAATTGGTTAATGAAAGAACTAATTTAGTACATGGAAATACTAATTTCACAATAATTTTATTATTTTTTCTCACTGTTTTATATTTCTTTCTTGAATAATGTCACTTATTTGTTTCAAGTATCATTTTATTAATTGAATTGCTGATTCTTTTTTCCAAGCAAAAAAGGCTTTACATATATACTGTGTTCCTATTGAGTTGGACTTCAAACTGAACTATAAAAGTGGGGAATCTGAACTAATTACTTTGAATATGTATTTGCTTTTTGTGAAGAGAACATCTGTTTGGTCCTATTTAATGTTTTGTGTTGCTGTATCTTACAATGGTGGTAATCAGTTTTAAATGTCATTGGTTCCTCTCTTTACTAAAATATTGCTGGGAAATCAACCCCAAGGTTGATTTATGACTGACTAAACCAGTTTTAAAACTTCATACCTAGAAACTCTACCAAATTATCTTTCGTTTCTGCTCTGTTAATGACACCACTTAACAGGTTAATATATTATATTCCTTTCTAGATGAGCCAACCAGCCCAAGCATTGATCATGATATTGCACACATTCCTGCTTCAGCTGTCATTTCGGCATCCACCTCTCATGTACCCACTATAGCAACGATTCCTCCCAGCCTTACAACTTCAGCCCCTTTAATTCGCCGTCAGCTGTCACACGACCATGGTAAGTATAAATTAATAAAGGCCTAGAGCCAATTCTACCTTCAATATTTTTATCTACAAGGTCATAATATTTTATGATTTCATCATCATTGCAACAACTCAAAACCCCAATTCTGTGCATCTAAATGTTCAATTTTATGTGTAGGATCTGTTGGGCCCATCCTAGATGGCCAGCGCAACTCAAAAACTGAGAGATCAAAATCATATGATGAAGGCCTGGATGATTATAGAGAAGAGGCCAAAGGGTGAGTACTGGGTGTTTACTGTGAGACACTCACACATACCTCTCTTAGAGAGACTTTGAGATGTTCCATTTTAGATTTTCTCATCTATGACATTGAAAAGCTAAAAACCGAAATTACCTCTAATAAATATATACCTTTTGTCAAATGATGTACAGAATGAATAGACTAATTTGAAGTCCTGTAAGTACACCTACAAGTTTTCCTTTTCCTTTTGGACTTTCAAGGAAGATCAGGTAGTTACTTATGAGGCAATATTTAAAGGAATAGGAAGATGCCATGCCATTCATTCTCATTCTCCCTAGAGCTTACCACTTTAAATGACAGTAAGGCACCTAGAATCCTGGTCGCCACTACCAGATGATTGTAATTTGTCTCTTAGGGATCCTTAATATACTTAAATTAAGAAAAATAAGTTTATAAAACTGAGAGGCTACTTCTTTAATTATGTTTTCATTCACCCTTGGAAAAAAATCCTTTTAGAATACTATTGAATGTACATTTTATTGAATGTTATCTCTCCCATATAACACATTTGAAATACCCTTTTGTTTCTGAGCTACCTTTTTGTATGTGTGATAGATAATCAGATACCGTTTATTTCCCCCAACAGGTCTTTTAAGCATGTATCTAGCTTGAAGGGAATCAAGGTAGGTATTTATTATTCAAGTATACTATAGATGATTCTGTTTAGTTTTTATGATTGTAGCTCTCTCATTTTGATCATGGAATTGAATGCAAGCAGTCAGCCTACTAATACTTAAATATTTTGAGATTTTTCTTCAGTGAGCTCTCAAAATATTGCAAAATAGTAAATGTAAGCTCAATTCTTCATCCAATCTTTAGAGAATACATACTTATCAAGAATATTACCTCAAACATTCTTCCTAATATTCCTAAATTATTTAAGGTAAATGTGAAAAAAACTTAGATGTATAATATTGATGGCAATGAAATTCATCATTTCTGCTGCTTTTCTATTACACTATCAAAAGCCTTCATAACCAAATGTATATGATTTCATTAAGATATTTTCTGAGGACTTTGTACAAAAGTAAATTCCACTTTGACTCTCAATCCTCTAGGTGACCCTCTAAGACTATAAATTGCAGAAAATTTGCTGACCTACCTAGGTGGAGGGAGTTTCAGTTAGTGAGAATTGGTAAGAGAAGGTAGGTACAGCTACCCAGTGCTTAGGAGCTGCTAAAGAGGTTGTCAAAGAATGCATTCATTAGGTTCTAACCAAGTTAGTTGAAATCACTTACAAGGAATTGGAAAGTTGAGTACTAAAGATCTCACAGGCCTACATTCCTTCTTTACACAGATTATTTTAAAGGGGAAAATAGAAGACATCTTATTATGTTTTTGTGTTTTTCTGTAGGTCTTAGACAGCCAAAAATCTTCTGAAGACTCTGGGTCCAGAAAAGATTCCTCTTCTGAGGTATTTAGTGATGCTGCCAAGGAAGGATGGCTCCATTTTCGACAGCTTGTCACTGATAAGGGGAAGGTACTAAAATTGAAAGCTGTTCTTCAGTGTCCAAACTAATTAAACACGTGGCAAATTAACCTTTAAAATCTGTAGCTATCCAGGGCAAAAACATCAACAAGAATTCAATCATTCATTTGCCTACTTCTCCAAATCCAAACGTTTGACTATTTTGAGACATTGTGACTGGTTTTGAATTGTATACTGTAGTCCACATACTAGAACAATATAGATGTAAAGTTCCTGGAAAGGAAGGAATGTTCTTAGCTCTGATTGGGATATGTTAATCCACATAGTACACATTTTAAAAATACCATTTTTCAGTTATACACATTACCAGGCTCCTAATCCTTTTCTAGTATAAATCTGTTGTAATTTCACTTCTTTATAAATTAAATTGTAAGTTTTCTCTAAATACTATAACCTTCAGAGAAAATCTCACTGTAAAAAATTGCCAAGTGTCCACAGGCCAACTTAATCATGAGTAAAAGTTCCTTTCAGTGATAAAGATCTTTACAGGTCATCATAATAAATTTGTTGTCTGTTTGGATAGTATCGTTTGCTCTAAAATTATTGAATATTTTTTTCAATTCTATTCATTTTTTGTTCACTTTAGAAGGTGGATTCTCGTGGCCAAGCTAGTTCAATCTTATGCTGCAATGTTTGTCAGTCCTCACTTCCTCCAAAAACACCCCCTTCTGCCCCTGCCTCATTCTGCGTGTGGATGGCAGTATACATATATTGTAAAGTTGTTTCATTTATACTTCCTCGTGTAGGTTGTTGGCTCCTCAAAAACAGGGATACTATCGCACGTTTATGTAGCTCTTTAGGGATGCATCCTCATATCATGTAGAACACTATAGAAGAGTGAGCCGTTATTATTGTACAAAGGGGAATACTTTCTGAGTTGGTTTCTATAACTTTTTATGAGCAGCTTTGCACAAACTCTCAAGTCAGTGTCCTCTATATACTGGTTATGTTTTCCAGCGGGTTGGTGGGAGTATTCGGCCATGGAAACAGATGTATGTCGTCCTTCGGGGCCATTCACTCTACTTGCACAAAGACAAAAGAGAACAGACAACTCCATCAGAGGAAGAACAACCTATCAGTGTAAATGCTTGCTTGATAGATATTTCCTACAGTGAAACCAAGAGGAAAAATGTATTCAGGCTTACCACCTCAGATTGTGAATACTTATTTCAAGCTGAAGACAGAGATGACATGTTAGCCTGGATCAAGACCATCCAGGAAAGCAGCAACCTCAGTGAAGAGGTACGTTTTTCTGAGAGGGTCCCAAGATTCCAATCTGGAGAGCCTTTATTTGATATGCCATTTGCTAGAAAGCTCTTGATGGTGCGGAGAAAGCAACTGTTTCCCTGTTGATATTTTACTTAAACCAGAAATTCACCATTATGGAACAGAGAAAGTGGAGGGTGGATTTGCTGTGCTTTCCTGGACTATTCATCCAAAAGCTGACTTGGTTGCTGTACCTTAGCCTCTCTGTGTCTTGTTTTCTCTTTCATGGGAAGATGATTATTTCACAGGATTTTGAGGAGGAGCAGGGAGAGTTTATAGCATCTCAGAGTTGAGAAGGACCTCAGAGATATGCTCATCTAGAAATTCCCACCATAACATCACTGACAACATTTCCAGTGACAGGGAAGCCATTTCCTTCCCAGGTAGCACATTTCTTTTTTTGCATACTTTCATATTTGGGAGGCTTCTCCCTCTGTAGAACATACCTGTCAGTCCATGTTCTGCACCTCTTACACACACCCTTTTCACATGATAACCTTTCAATTAGTTTATGACATACTCAAGATCATGTACAGAAGGCACTGTGAAAATGCATCATTGTATTATGGTGATTATGACCACAAATAGAATTCTGCCAGCAGACTGAGGCTACTTGGAAAACTCACACCAAGCTGATTCTATGCCCTTCCACACTTTTATTTGCTGGGCTGAAATGTTCACAGCTGATGTTCAAATACCACCAATGAGAGAAACTTTCTACTTGAGGCCTAAGTGTCTGATGCCTCAGGTGCCAGGCTCTCACTTTAGTGACTGTTGTGGAATTCAGGAAGAGGGAGGGTAAGAGCTCCTTTAGGGTCCCTTTCTCCTACTCAAGTTCAGAGAAGCTCCTTTTCTTTGTCCAGTGTCATGCAGGGAATAAGTCCCAGAGTCTGATTCATCCACATCTTCTTACTATGCTTCTTTCCATGGTATCCTACATCACATGAATCTATGAGATAATGTGTATGCTAGTGATACTTATGGGACAATTCTCCATATGAAAATAGGCCTAATTTCTGCATTTGAGGCCAAAATTTCCCTAATTCCTTTTATTTCAAAGTGATTCTATAATGTCAGGCCTCCCTGACCCACTTTTTGTAGGTTCTGTCCATTTATTTCAAGCTCCCAAGGGTTCCAGCAAGAAAATGTAAAACCTCCCTTATATGTTTTAAAAATTGGGCACTTCCATAAATTTGCTATTTCAATCTTGGCCTCCATTTGTTTTCTAGGATACTGGAGTCACTAGCAGAGACCTAATTAGCCGAAGGATAAAGGAATATAATAGTCTAATGAGGTAAGATGCCCACCATCTGTTAAGGGGTTTGTTTTGGGGTTTTTTGTTTGATTTGGAGGGGGGAAGGTATGGAAGGAAAGCCAGTCAATGTTAACTGTTGATTTTCTTCCTTCAGCAAAGCAGACCAGTTGCCAAAAACACCTCGCCAGAGTCTCAGTATCAGGCAGACTTTGCTTGGTGCTATATCAGAACCAAAATTTCAGAGTCCACACTCTCCCAAAGAAGAGTCAGAAAGAAAACTCCTCAGTAAAGGTACATGCTTTTATTGGAGAAATTTAACACATTCCATGATTGACTATTTATAGTATGAAGTTCTAAAAATATTTAACTTTAAAAATTCTTTCCCAAATATTGTTTTTGCTAACCTTCAGTGGTTTGGTTTATCTGGCTCGTAAAAGCCATAGACCTTCCCCTTCAGGCTTAGGCTCAAAAGATGTAGCTTGATAGTATATATAACAAAAATTAAAAAGTAAGCAAAATGTATTCCTTAAAATTGCAAGTTCAAAATTCAGTCCTAGCACCTATTGTTTTATATAGAAATTTAACCTGGACAATATGAAGAAATAAGCATGTCACACACATAGACATAAATTAGATGGGCTACCCTAGTACTTAAAGAGGCCCGTTTTGGAATCGAGTCATTTCAGGCTTCATCTTTTCTTAACAAGATTCACTACTACCAGCACTAATAATTTAAGTATTCCTTTAAGGTAGGTTAGCAGGAAAGCACCATGTTCATGTTATCTGGCATGGAAATCTGAAAGCCCCCAGGCATGTTATCCAGCCCTTTATTTTTTGATTTAGGTAGAAGAATGAGCCTGGAATAGCAGGTAGAAAGCTGACCTCAGAATCAGAAAAAATTTGAATTTAGATCTCCCCTCAGGCACATAGGGATTGTGTGACCTTGGGCAAGGCTCTTGACCTCTGAGGGATAGATAGAGGCCTCTCTCTGAGCAGGAATCTGTATTTCAAGAGTGAGCTCTATCCACTGATAATGTCACACACGTGGTCCAAAAAAAAGAGATCAGACTGTCAACTCATATACTTACATACATATGTGCATGTGTGTGTGTATAGATATATTAGTGTAAATAGAGGAGCATTAGAAACTTAAACATGTTGGAGCATAAGATCACAGATCTAGAATATTTCAAGAATCTTTCTCTGTATTTCTAGCGCAGTTACCTTAGTTATAATAGGTACTTTGTGAACATTTGTGGAATATTTTTCATTGAAAAATTCAGCATAATTCACATTGTAAAGGGATGAAAAACAACGATCAGTGTATTTTTATATATATGGAAGAAGGCAATTTTCATTTGGTAATGAAAGAGAAAAGATGGATTAGGATGATCTGAAACATTGTCAATTGATGCCTTTTTTTTAATGTTAAAGGGATCCCGTTTAAGCCAACGTAGTCCATGTATTTGAATTATGATTCAAACATTTTTGTTTCCCCTCTTTTTTCCCGCAATGTATGACCTCCTTGTTTTCAACAATAACCAAAGATGACACCAGTCCTCCAAAAGACAAAGGCACATGGAGAAAAGGCATCCCAAACATCATGAGGAAAACATTTGAGAAAAAGCCAACTGCTGTAGGAACCTTTGGTGTCAGACTGGATGACTGCCCCCCAGCTCACACCAATCGGGTAGGAGACAAAAGCTTCGCTTGTACTCTAATAGTCCAAGGGAAAACTGCTAATAATGATCTGCCATCCTTTTTTTAAAAAAGATTTTACAAATGACTTTATATTCTAACTTGGTGTTGCCTTCAGGAGCCATCTCTCATCATTTGGCTACCAAGGCAGATGTTTGCTGACTAAGAGACTTTCTGCCGAGCTCTATCATTTACTTTGATTTAATTTCTGCATGAAATTATTGTCTTTGGTGTTGATGTTAATGTTGATGTTAAAAAGATGAGATTTTATTTCAGGGGAATATCCGAGGTTATTAAAAACTGTCCGGTTTTGCAAAGGCAATCCAGCCTGCTCTGCTTCTGCTCAATTCTGGGGTCAGCTCATTGTCCTCTTAGAATATCTAAGATCAATGTACTGATAGGCTAGTTCTCCAGGTTGACCATCCAAATGCATATTGCAGTCTCCAGGAGACATTCTACTTCTTCGACTCACTGTTTCCTGTATGGAGTATTAGGCCTACTTTCTGGAGAGAGTAGAGATCTCACTTAGGAGATTCTGTATAAAGACATGGAAATTTCATTCGGCTCAGTGCCATCTTTGGACAAGAGCATCTGGAGGACCTCACCACCAATACCACCACTTTCTTTTCTTCTACTTCATGACAATGCCGAACTCCTCGAGCAAGCACACATCTGTCTGTTTTATGCTTCCCTTGAAATTACTAATCCAAAGTTGAACACAGTTATCCCTGAGAAATATTTCAAGGAATCCTGGATGATTTTGATGCAGATGTGGGAAACAACATTAGAGAAGAGAGTTGGTCAAAAGGTTTTTATTGTTGTTGTTGTTCCACCTTTGTACTCAAGGAGGACCAATGACATCCCAGTGTTGGTGTCAAGGGACAGTGTATTCGACTGTGGCTCATCAGTCCAATATGGGTTTGGAAGGCTCTACCACAGGTTGGGAACAACCAGTCCATTTGAACATTTAGGATGGAGATATCTCTAAACGTGCACATGTTATGTTTCCCCTGTGCTCCTGCATTTCTACTTGGCTCATGGAGAGCCTAGTGCCATGCTGGATGCGGGCATACCAGGCTGGGCAGTCCTGTGCCAACATCTCCCATGTCTCACAATTGATAGTAAAGTTCTTCTGAGAAACCTTGAGAGTGTCCTTGTACTGCTTCTTCTAACCTGTGTGTGAGCACTTGCCTTGTGCTAGTTCTCCATAAAATAGTCTTTCCGGCAAACATATGGTAGGCATTCGCACAATGTGGCCAGCCCATGGGAGCTGTGCTCTCTGCAGTAGGATTTGAATGCTTGGCAGGTCAGCCTCAGAGAGGACATCAGTTGTTGGTTACCTTATCTTGCCAGGTGATCTTCAGAATCTTCCTAAGACAATTCAAATGGAAACAGTTTGGATAGTCAAGAAGCAGCAGAATACTGTATTCGCTACCCTTTTTAGCCATTAGTTACCATAAAGATGGATTACATTAAAGGCAGTATCATATCTGGAAGCCTGCCTGTTCTTTTCTGAAACTTGCATCAGGATTGCCCTCCATATAAATGTATACTAACTCTGTTCCCAAAATTGAAATTTGATGTCCTACAAGCATCTGTTCACTCAAGCCAGAAGGACATCCTTAACTCAACTTCTGGAAGTCCTATTCTTCCTCCAAGCCTCATTTGAGGTGCTAGCCCTCTCCATTAAGCTCCGCCCCCTGTCCCTCCCAGTCCCCTGGTTAGTCTCTGCCCTCAACAAGGGGACAAGTTTAGAAAGGAGCTGGCATGCCAGTATCTTTTTTGAGACATTAAATCAATGTGCATTTTGTAAAACAAAAGCCTAATGAAGAAAGTATGTTGAATTTGCTTAATTAAAATATGTATTTGGGAGAGATGTATAAAAAGTTAGATTTCACGTGTGAAGTAAATTCTTTAAGAGCAATTTGCATTCTCCATACTCTGTTCACAGACTAATTTCCTGACTTCTAGTGTTCTTTGCTCAGCCAGAATTTACCCAGTCATTTGACAGTCATCAGAACAACCATATTTGGTACTTGAAGACTTACAAAGCTTTATAATAACAGCTCTGAAAAAGATGCTGCAGTCATCATTAGACCCTTTTCATGGAAACTGGGTCTTGGAAGAGTGAAGTCACTTGCCTACAATTCTCACAGCTAATAAATGCTGAAGGCAGGATTCTGAAGCTAAGTCTTCCAGACTCCCACACCAATACTCTATCAGATAACTTTCCCCTCTTACATCTCATTTCCATCTCAGCAGTCCAAATATGTTTGACTCGGTTACAACTGAACTCACTATTCTTTTGATTCTCCACATGACCTAAAGAGCAAACCGTTTTTTTGAGAAATATATTTTATGTAGAGATAAATAATAGCTTAATATGATCATTTGAGGCCTCCAAAAATAAGAATTGTCTCTTTTTGTTTTGTAGTATATTCCACTAATAGTTGACATATGCTGCAAATTAGTTGAAGAAAGAGGACTTGAATATACAGGTATTTACAGAGTTCCTGGAAATAATGCTGCTATCTCAAGTATGCAAGAAGAACTCAACAAAGGAATGGCTGATATTGATATACAGGATGATGTAAGTTCATTCATTAATTTTCATTGATCTGAATGTTCCAGAATGTTATGGTGACTGTGACATATTACGTATTTCCATTCTGCATACCTAGAAATGGCGAGACTTGAATGTCATTAGTAGTCTGCTGAAATCATTCTTCAGAAAACTCCCTGAGCCTCTCTTCACAAATGGTAAGTTATCTTCTGTAAAACCAATTGAATTAAAACCTAAGTTTTAAATTAAAGAAAATTAAAGTGGAAGTAAAATTCTCTGGTAGTTAACTGGGATTTTGGGGGGGGAGTAAATTTCGCTATTTAGAATCCATGAAAACAAGTTTATTGCCATTCAGCCAAACTACATTGTTGGGCCCTTCCTTATTTCTGGCCCTCAGAATAACATTTCTTACTCTCCCCAGACAGAATTTTTAAACATGTTGGTGTACATTACCTTTGTGTACATGACCTTTATTTACATGTTTTTATTAAATCAACAAATCCTTGCTGAGCATGTCACACACACGTATTCATAAAGCTATACATAGAGATAGAGATGATGTTGTGGTTGGTATTGGGGCAGAAAAAGGAGAGGTATGGTGAAGGCAAAGTTTCTGTTTTCATGGAACTTTTGTACTCTAAGTTACTTTAACATAGTTCTCATTCAAATTGATGTTATTTTGGAGGTCTAAATTTTAAACCTACTTAAGACAGAGAAATACCTGTTACTTTGTTAACAATACAAAGGATACATTTAGCCTAATCAGTTGAGAAAAAAATGTCTTTCTGTTGCCAGATAAATACGCAGACTTTATTGAAGCAAATCGAAAAGAAGATCCCATGGAGCGTCTTAAAACATTAAAAAGACTGGTGAGTATTATTGGTCAGTTTGGGGATTACAACAGAAAGTTTTACAAGTTTTAACTCTATCACTCAAATGATGTTTTTACAGATTCATGATTTGCCCGAACATCATTATGAAACCCTTAAGTTTCTTTCTGCTCATCTGAAGACAGTAGCAGAAAATTCAGAAAAAAACAAGGTAGGTAAATAAAGAATTCTAGAAATATTCTTTAACGTTTTCAATCAAAATCTTATGGTGTACGTAACAAAATTCAAAGGAGACTTCTAATGAAAAGGAAAGGGCACAAATTTGTCTAACTGGCTTAGTCACTAAGTAGGTCCCCAGATCTAGAAACAGCAGAAGAAAAGGGCACATATGTAAACTAGTTCTGATGGTTCAGATATTTTTCTTCCTACTCCTTAGATATGTCTGTCTTTCTCATCTCCTGGCCTTCACACAGCTCATAATTGCCGGGTCAGTATGATAGGAGTGGGAAAGATTAGTAGAAAGAACTGTGAGGTGATGGATGACTTTGAACCTTAAAAACATAGTAGTTTAAAAAGAGTTTCCAAGAGCAGCTAGATGGTAGAGTGGATAGAGCTCTGGACTTAAAGTCAGGAGGACCTGAGTTCCAGTGCAACCTCAGACACTTGACACTTCCTAGCTGTGTGACCCTAGGGAAGTCACTGAACCCTTTTACCTCACCAAAAAGCAAAAACAAACCAAAAATAAGAAAGAAAGACAAAAGTTTCCAATACAGGGAATGCTGAGATATGCCCCCTGTTTATGTAAACCCTTCACAGTTTGGTCTTCTTTCTGCCTCTGGTATCTGCCAGGGGAAAAAAAAAAAGATCCTTAGCTTCTCCCAGCACTTCTTTCCCTTTTTTTCTTGGCTGGCCTACCCTTGATATGCTTCTTTCTCAGTTAGTAGTATACATTGCAGCAGTTTACATCTTTGGGGCATGAAGATTTCTTGGTGGTAAAAGAACTTGATTTCCTTTTTGATATTATGCCAGACAATAGTAATGTGGTTTTACTTAGATAGAACAGTATAGTTAAATTAAAAACTGAGGTACAGATCCAAGTTCTGTTGACTACTACCTGCTATGTGACCTTGAATGAGTTACTTTACTTTAAGGCCTGAATTTCCTACTCTAAAAAATGAACTAGAACATCTTCTGACTCTAAATCCTCTTGTCTCTCCTCCTTTGCTTCAGTTCTAATCTCTGATGAAGAGGTAACCCTTCCCTTCAAAACCAGTCCTCCCTCTCTCTTACATTTCACTGTCTCCTGTCTACAATGTATTTTACTCTCCTCCCCTTCAAGAGGGAAAAAAAAATTTCCTTGCCCCCAGCATCCCTGAAAGCTATGTGTACTTTCTCTTTTCTCCCTTTCATAAGCAAACTTCTAGTAAAAGCTGTCTACACCCATGCCTCTGCCCTTCCTCTTAAGCACAAACCAGAGCTGCAGATGATCTGTTTGCCAAGCCAAAAGACTTCTTCCCAATCTTCCTTCAGGTCTCAATACATGCTTTCACTTGATCTCTGAAGTATTTGAAACTGTTCACCATCCCCTACTCCTGGCTATATGCTTTCCTCTCTAGGTTTTCCTCATCATCTCCCATGGTTTGAATGACCAAATATCTCTAGGAAGGACTCCCACATCTGTAAATATACAGCCCCAGGTACTCTATTGAGATTCAGGACCCCCATCGTGAACTGCCTGTTGAATATTTCAGACTGTACTTGTCTGACAGCCATCTTAAACTCAGTGTTAGATAATCACAACTTATCTTTCCTCCCCAACTTCCACATGTCCCTATTTTTGTTGAGAGAACCACCATCCTTCAGGTACCCAGACTCACAATCTTGAAGTCATCCCCAGCTTTCTGTCTACCTTGTCCCCTCCTATATCCAGTCAGTTGCCAAATATTTGCCTTCACAACATCTCTTCTATCCATCTCCTTGTTTCTCACCTGGATTATTATTACAGTAGGATTGTCCATAGTCTCCCTCATTTCAAACCTATCCTCCACACAGCTTTTCAAAATGATTTTCCTAACGTACAGGTAGAATCGCGTCACTCTCCTGCTTCCACAGCTCTAGTAGTTTTGTCTGTAGAAAAAAGCAAGGACTCCTTTATTTTGTGTAAGCCCTTCCCAATCTAGACTAGTGTCTGGAACATAAGAAGTGCTTCATAAATGTTGGATGACAAATTGATCTTTATTACACACTTCTCTTTTTGTTTTCAGGGTTGATTTTTCCAAGGGACTGTTCCTTGAACAGTCTGTTGATGAGGTAACATCAAATAACCATTATTCAAACACCAGTTAATTTCAGAACAATGTATCTTTCCATTGTTATTAGATACCAAGAAAATGCACACAAAGTCCATGTCCTTGAGAGCCTTATAATCAGATTGGGAGTACCCGACCCATATGCAAAGATTTAGAGAGATTTACAAAACAATGTTTGAATCAATGTCATTATAAGAGTACCAAGTATATATTTGCAGAAGGCACTCAGAATTAAGACTATTGATGCAAATCCCTAGGATTCCTAAAAGGTGTTTTGAACTGAATTTTTTAAAAAGTGAAAGATATGAAATGGATAAGAATTGGCATTGCAGGTAGGGAGAAATGACAGAGTGAAGATACAAGCTGGGGGTGAATGTGCAAGTATGGAGTCACGAGCCAAATGGGCTTGCTCATTCTTCTATTTTTCTTCAAGACAACGTTGGCTTTTGGAAATTTAAGCTTCTTTGAATATTAATCACATCTCTTTTGTGCCAGACAATTTCTGATGTTTTTCAATAAGACGATGCCATCTTTCCGCTCTCTCCCCCCTTTCCCATCCTTTTTTTCAGATGGAACCAAGAAATCTAGGCATTGTTTTTGGCCCAACCCTTGTGCGACCGCCAGAAGATAACATGGCACATATGGTGACTCACATGCCTGACCAGCACAAAATTGTAGAAACCCTTATCCAACATGTAAGTGGGTGGTTAGTCTTTGAGAAAAGGCTCTTTGAATGAAAGATCATTTGGATTTTAGTTCTTTCTCCTTTCTCTTAACACAGACATTTTCTCTCCGTCCTGTCCCCCATACTAATGACAGTTTGGAGGGTTTTCTCATCTTTTTTTTTTATTTTAAATTTTTAGCATGACTGGTTTTTCCCAGAAGAAGGTGCAGAAGAGCCTCTTGTAAGTTCCTTTTTGCTTTTATGATTGGTTATTTGGATTTGGGACACACAGTCCTGAGTTTTCGATAGTGGGACCATAGTCCACCATTTGCCACTATTAGCTCTGCGTGTCAGAAGTTGATTCCTTGCTTCTAAATTTCTGTTGTAATGAAAATATCAGTAGCTAAAACCGTGGTACTAAGCACTGTTGTTGTTTTAAGATAAAGCAGTGTGGAAAATTAAAGTTAAAATATCAATAGGCTTTTCTAAATGTTGTGAAAAATATAATGACATAACTTTGAAGAAATGTTGAGGGGGTCTTTGTTTATTAACCATAGACAACAGTTCAGGAGGAAAACACTGTAAAATCTCAGCCAGTGCCTAACATAGATCCTTTACTGACCGACATTGGAAAGACGGGCGTATCTCCTGGAGATGTAGCAGGTAACTTTGCCTGGGCAGTGGTAACCTGTAGGCTAGACAAACCTACTGGCTTCTATTAGAATGATAAAGTAAATAAGGCATAAGTAATAATTCACTATGATTTTTCTTTTTCTCCTTGTTTTTTCCTTTCCACTAATGAACTGATTCTCCTTTTTCTGACTGATCTTAAGTATCTTCCAGTGATTATAATGCCATTGGCAGTGCATGGAGTTGGAATGCTTGTTGACAAGTCTGTCAGATTTGGACATAGGAGGGGAGATGAGCATGCATAGCTCTGTTCTCTTTATTCACAGTTATCCATGTAATTGTCATCACAAGGTAAAACAGATCAATGCTACTGAATATGTGGTGGCTGTGATGGCAGAAAGTGGGACCTTCCAAATGGTAAAAATCACTATCATACCCAAGGCTAGCAATGCATTTTAAAAGCACAAAGTTAAATATTTAGAACTAATGGCACTAGTTTCACCTACCTGTGTAATGTCTAGTAAAAATCAGTCTCTTCCAAGTTAGTTTCCCTATTTCTCAGCTGGTCCCCTCTTTCTCGGTGACGCTCGAGTTTTCTAGAGTCTTTTGACGAACACTATTTCCCTGCTGTACTGTTCCACTAACCGGGCATATTGTCTCCCAGTCCTCTCCCTTTGTCTCTAGTTCTTGTTCTAGTACTAAAGGGGGTTTCCGCACTTTGTGACACAGGCAAATCTATACTGATGTTGCACAACAGGCGAAACAGGAGGCGTCTATCCTGCGGTCATGTCACTAGTGGACGCTGTGGTGTCCGTGATGGACAGCTGGACCTGTAGGAAGAAGGAGGACTGTTGCCCACACTGTAGCTGCCTTGTCTGCAGAAATCCCCCATTCCTGTAAATGCCAAAAGAGTTGATCTGTGCTGTAAATTTTCTTTTCAGTGTATTTTAAACAGATCAATGCTACTTTCTTAAAGTTTTTCTGCTGTTTCTTGTTATTTCTGAAAGCAGACCCTGAGGAGAAATAGCATGGTATGATCTACCAGTTTTTTAAGTCATAAAGCATTTAGCCATGTGTCCAAAAAAGAGGTGTGGCATGGGGCTCAGCTCCTCAGTTTTGAAAATTAATCTCCCCAAAGTTGAAAAATGAAATTTCTGAATCATCATTCTCTTGAATGGTGCTAGCCCCTTCCTACCCTCTTTATAATTGTACAATATAAGTTTTTGCCAGACAGTAAAATGATGGTCTCCATGTTTCCATTTCATGATAGCACTTGTTATAGAGGTCATTACTAAACTGGTAGCAGTTTCATATATAGCTAGTCAAAAGGAACCCTGGCTGCATTACTAAGAAGCAGAAAACTGGGGTCAAAACCACAATAGTTAACCTTTTCCAATGTAAAGTCATATGACCTGAAATCAAGGTTATCCTAAGAACTTCTGCTTCCTTAATTATGCCATGTATGATGCTATTCTATTGAAAGGAGTTAAGTTTAACAGTCTGACAACAATAAACCCAAATACACTTGAGTGTCTGAGTCTGTAGCTAGGATGAACCCATAGTCCTAACACACTGCGTTGTGTATCAGTTCAACTACAGGATAGGGTACACAGTACAATTCTTAAGAGGTCTTTAAGCTTCGTTATTGCTAGACTTTTATATTTGGAGAAGTTAATAAACACTCGTGTTTCTGTTTTTGTTGAGAACAGGGCTCCTTTGCCATTGCTATCATTGAGCTGGTTCTGCCTACAATTCACAGCATCCTTTCATGTCGGTGGCTTTCTGTGGTGCAGCTTTCATCTTTGTGAGCTCTGACTATCCACTGTGTTCTATGGTTTTGTTTGGGTTTGACTTTCACATTTTGTTCTGTGCCTGTCTCTTCCATAAGTTTTGCATCATTTGTAGAAAGAACTGTTAAAGTATGAACAAAACTGATCACATTTTATTTACCTTCACACAGATTCAGCTCCTGGTGACTCAGCAGAATCTAAGGTAAATCCTTTTATTGCCTTGAAAAGTGCTTTGAAATTTGTTTTGTGACTGATTTATAAATGTGCAGAGATTCAATTCAACAACCCAATTAAGGAAGAGCTACTTACTTATGTCTAAGTCCCTTCTGTAATATTTCTTGTCTATACCTGGTTGAGATACATAGTCAGTCTCAGGACAAACTATTGACATAGCCTGGCACATTCTCCTCCAAAGAACATTCGTTAGTGGCTGAGAGGCAGTCCTAGGAGGTCATATCCTGGCTCTGACATGTGACCCTTGTGAACCTCAGCTTGCCAGTATGCTCAAGACTGATACCCTAAAAAGGGTTTTCTTCAAGCAACTTTGGCCAATTTATACTACCATATTCTTTCTCTTCTTCCCATTGCTGCAAAATGTACTCCAGAATTGTACAGCAGGGATTCTTAGCCTTTTGTTGTTGTTATTGTTGTGGACCCCTTTGGCAGTCTGAGCAAATCCATGAGTCCCTTCTCAGAACAGTGTTGGTTAAATACACAAAGAAAACTACATATCATTACTAGGAAGGAAAACAATTCTATTGAAATAGAGCCATCAACACGTTTTTAAAAACACAAAGCTCAAGCTCATTGACCCCAGGTGAAGTGCTAAGCTGACTTCCTGGAAAATGCTTCCCAGTCCTTCTAATTTGGTTTCTATCCCTACTGCTCTAACATACCATGTTTTACCTCACTGTAGTTCAGAAATTCAGTATCTTCCGTCCAGAATACCAACATTACCTCCATCACTTACTTAGCTTTCTGACTTCAGGCAAATCAGTCACTATCTCCAAATTGGTTTCCTCCTCTGTAAAAGGTGAATAGTGGTATCTGTAATATCTGCCTTTTTGTTCAGCTCAAATGAAATCATAGCTGTCAAGAGCTTTGCTAAGTCAGTGTCTTCTCCCACTACTTGATTAACTCTAGCAATAACCTCCTATCTCCATATCCATCCAGTGATTTCCTATTACCTCCTCAATAAAATCTATACTTGTCAGTTCCTCCACAGTCTAGCCTTGGATAGAGTAAGGGATGAATAATAATACAGTTGAACCATCATTTTAAAAAAGAACCTACTGTGAGGGCCTTAAAAATGAGTAAGGCAATCTGTCCCTGCCTTTGAGGAACCCATAACTTCAAAATATCTAAAATGTACAAATCAGAAAGTGCCACAAAGTTGAAATGATCAAAAATAAAGGATATTTCATTCAGCATGTGGTCTAAAAATATTTGCATGACACGAAGTGTTTTCTTCTGGGTAAAGAGAAAATACTAATAAAAACCTGAAAACAATAGCAACCCATATGAAAACCCATTGTAGCAGCATTAGGAAAGTCAAAGGATTGATTTTCAAACATGGAAGGTTCTTCAATGGCTGAAATAAAAGTATCAAACACAACAGATACTCAGAAGGCCATTGTTCTTCATCTGATGTTTTGGGGCAGTTATGTTTGAAGGTTGGGGGGTTGATTCAATCTCTTTTTAATCTCTTGTAGGGGTTAAACACAGGAATCTTGGAAATGGGTTAGGTGGTTAAGTCCATTATGACCGAAAACTTAACTTAAAAATAAGGGTTATCATGTGGACATTCTCAAAGCATTTTGGTGGAATGGACTTCTAGTTGGGAGAATTGGATTACAATCTCACTTCAGCTACAAAGTGGCAATGTGCCCATGGGCAATCTGCATATGAAAGTGATACTTTGGCTACTTACTTAGTAGACTTTACTTATAGTAAATGTCCTATTTGGCAGTCCTCTTGGAAGACTAGTCGTTGTTTGTACTCACTGTATCTTGTCTAATAAATACTAATAGCCTCTCCCCAATGTTAAAGTTAAAGAACACTGCCCTACAGTCTTGACTTACACAACAGCTAATTCTTGTTGACTATGACTTCCAAGTGGATACTCTTGTATACAATAAATGACTTGGTTTCTGATGTGTCAGTTCAAAATACTAAGGACAGTTCTTTGAGATATTGGGTCCTGAAATTAAGGGATATAGAAAAGAGTTTGGAAAGATCCCTAGGGAAAAAGAGAGAGAGAGAGAGAGAGAGAGAGAGAGACCAAACCATTAAATTTTCTTGAAAATTGAGTACTTCAGGGCTATTGGTATTCTTTTCCTTTAGAAAGTTTGAGGGGGGAATATGACCAAAACACCTCAAGAGAAACTGAATATATGGCTGAGTTTTTTTTTTTCCTAAGTTTCCCTTTTCTCTTTCCTTCCCAGGGTTCTTGGGGATCCGGAAAGGATCAGTATAGCAGGGAATTGCTTGTATCCTCCCTCTTTGCAGCGGCCAGTCGCAAGAGGAAAAAAACAAAAGAGAAAGCACAGCCAAGCAGCTCAGAGGATGAGTTGGATAACGTCTTTTTCAAGAAAGAAACTGCAGAACAACCTCGCAGTGATAATAGTAGTAAAGAGGACAGCAGAGGAGAGTCCAAAAGAGAGAATGATCCAATGAGAAAGCAAAGAACTAGTGTTTCTAAGGATATTAGTAGCAAAAAAGACTCGCACGTGAGGAAAGAGGAAAAGCTGGCACCAAGGAAAGAGAATGCGGCATGTGGAGAGCCCTCGCTGCCCTCCAACTCAAAACACAAAATCACCTACTCTCGGCTACCGTTTCACCGTGCTTAAAGAAGGCCCCCAGATCTCCTCTCAGCTCCCAGACCCCTCTTCTGGCCTTGGTGCTTTACTTAGCACTCCCTCCCCACCATCCTTGATGAGATTGCCTGCTAAGAAATCGTGCAGTCCAGAAATTAAATGCAATGAGTTCCTGGCCAGTGCCAGTTCGACCCCCTCAGACTACTCGGCCACTGCCTACCTGACCAGCCTCGATGGCAGCCGGCTAAGCCCAGAGGTACAGTCAGTTGCTGAGAGCAAGGGAGATGAGGCTGATGATGAGCAGAGTGAATTGATCAGCGAAGGGCGACCTGTGGAAACGGACAGTGAAAATGATTTTCCGGTTTTTGCCACAGGTTTTCTTTCGGAGAAATTCTTTCGCGGTAAGATCCAAGAAATGGTGAAGACAGGCCGGAGAAACTCCGAAGGAAGTGAATTAAGTTGTACTGAGGGAAGTTTAACACCAAGTTTAGACAGCCGGAGACAGCCATTTAGTTCACATAAGCTTATTGAATGTGATACACTCTCCAGAAAAAAGTCAGCTCGGTTCAAGTCGGAGAGTGAAGGTGTAGGTGATACCAAGGATGAGAAAGAATCATCCTCTGTAATTAAAGTATTTGACATGAAGAAGAAAGGAAAGTCAACAGGGAATTTGCTGGTGCCAGCTAGAAGTGAATCAGAAAAACATGAACCCACTTGGAGAATTAAAATAACTGACCGGCTAAAACTGAGGCTCAAAGCATCTGCAGATGACATGTTTGGGGTGGGAAGTCAGAAAAATAGCTCTGCAGAGAGTACTAAAAGGAAAAACATCAGAAGACGACACACCCTCGGAGGGCAAAGTGATTTTGCAGAAATCAGTGTTTTAAATGCTTGGAAGGTTCCTGAACAGAGTGGAGAAAGAGAGTCTGAACTTTCTGCTGTGACTCGATTAAAACCCAAATGCCCAGCCCAAGACCTCTCCATTTCAGACTGGCTCGCACGAGAACGCTTACGTACTAGCACGTCTGACTTGAACACAGGAGAACCCGGAGAGCATAGACTGGAGAACACTAGTAAAACAGAAATCTATACATCAGGTGGAGGCAGCTCCCCAAGCACCTTAAGTTTGACAAACAGACCCCTTTTTTCTAGACCATCCCAATCACCTGAACAAATAAATGGTGAAAGCTTCCAGAATGTCAACCAAAATGATGCTCCTATACCTGTTGCCAATCCTCAAAAACCATCCCTAACCCCAGGAACTAAATCACAGTTTCATCAGTGTCTCTAAACTGGAGGGATGCGTCCACTACAGCAACTCAAAAGCTACTGTTACATGTTCCAATAACTCTGTAAATATGTTTCTGTACTAGAATTGTTATTATGCAGCCTTCATTTTGGGCTGGTTTCATCAATGTGCACTGTGGAATGTCTTCGCTGTGCATTTCTATGGCCAGAAGAACATAAAGTTCAGAAAAAATATATATCTATATATTTTAAAAATATATTGGATAGTTGCATACAAATAAGCAAGGTATTTGTTGCAACATGCTATGTAGTCTCTACAAGGTTTATGACCAGAAATTGATGAGTAAATCAGCTGGCATTAGTACGCAGCAAATTTGTTCTTTTGGTTTAGTCACTAACAAAAGTGCCTCATCATAACAATTCATTGGTTTTGTTAGGGTGCCATATTGTTAACTGCTAAATTAGAAAACTTAAAATGAACAGATGAAAGCATTTTATTGGTAATGTTTCATTACATATTACTGATTTTAACACAGGTGGATACAGAGTTTCCATTCCTTAGGCATTCCAGTGGGATCTCTGAGTTTTATATTCAAACTTTTAATACAGTTTTTGAGTTTTGTGTGACTTGAATTTTTAATCTTTCTGTAAAATAAGTAACTTAAATGGACCTATTATATGTGTATCTTTTCTTCAGATACCATATTTGTTATAAATGTTGTAACATAGGCGTGTAGATAGTGGATCCTGGATGGAACTGGCTTCTTTTATGAAGAATATAATTCTGCATGAAGACTTAATGAATCCAAACCTGTGTCATGCCTGTGTGCATACCCAATTATACACTGGAAATAAAATTGTTTTGTTGAACTTTTTGCATGGTTCAATATCATTCTACTGAGTCATTTTAAAATGTCACTTATAGACTTTAGTCAGCCTCCACTTATGGTAGATAGTAGCTAGCCCTGGCTTAAGAAAAAAACAAACAACAGAATGATTATTTTTATGATATAGAAGGAAAATACTTTTGCTCTAGTTTTGCAAAGCATTATCTTCTCTTATCCCTCTTTGAGGTCAGCTGGTCTCTCAGTCCAGTATCTATACACATTCAGATTTAGCAGTACCTGACGTAATCTTCCATACACCAGTCTACCCACTCCATATGCAAAAGATGGCCACAAAGCATTCTTTTCTCTGTAGGGGAGCTGTATTTAGAGCAATTTATTAAAGCTTGAATTTTGTTTCATATTGATATCACATGAATGTTCCTAGGAAATGAATCTTCTTTTGTTTCTATGTAGATAATCCAGAGGGTAATACACTTTGCAAGTCTGGGTCTAAGTTTCCTCATTGTGAAAGGTTCCTTCCAGCCTCTAGACTGGAGATCTAGGAATTTGTTTTTTTAAAAAATATTTTGATAACTGTACTTCAACACAGTTAGTTTCCTTTATAATGTTATGTGTTTTATTTTACATATTTAAAAACATTTTTTGAAAGAAACATTCATAGTAGGCTTCAAACTGTTGCCAGAGGGGAAAAGGTTAAAAGCCCAAGTTCTAGATCGACCATCCTATGACCTGATCCCAGTGGGAGAGGAGAGCTTGTTTGCTTGTTGCTCAATTTCGTTTGTTTCTCATGGAGATTAGAGTCTAACAGATATGCTTATATTGCCTTGCTTTTTTTTTTCAATTAATAGGCTCTAACTAGCTGCCAAAGAAATCTAATCATTCAAATGTAAGACTTAAAAGATAGCTATGCATTGATTCCTAGTAATCCAATTATTTGTGTTTTTCCTTGAATAATATGAGTCATAAAAGCACCATTTGAATTTGAATTTTTTTGAATTTTTAAATGCTATTTTTCTGCCAATCATTTGCTGGAATTAGAGAACATAGTACCTGTCAGATCCTGATATGGTGTAGGGATGCTAGGAGCCCAAAATGCCAAGGTATAGTGCGGGAGTGTGCCTCGAAAGAATTCAACCACTTGAGCCTTCTTTTAGTACAAGTAGTTAAGTTATTAAGATACGGGTTAGGGGCTCCGCTTCTGAGAGCCAGGATGGCAGAGTAAGAGGTAAGTCGCTCTCTTCCTCTCGTATTAACCTCTGCAAACCCAGAAAATATCACCCAAGGGAAAACCCTGGAACAGCTGAAGCAGAAGAAAGAATGTGTGCAGCAGTCCTGTAGCCCAGGTAGCTTGAGGGATTAACGGGAAAGGCCCTTCTTGCCTTGGGAAGGGAAGCAATACATAACAGGAGGCTTCTCAGCAAGCTAACAAAAAGCCTCACCTCAGCATACCAGGCAGAGATCCTGAAACCCAAGTGGTGGAGCAGAGAAACACCAACGCCTGGACCCTCAAGTGCCTCAGTGAGGGCTGAGGAACCAGTGGAAACCAATGTGGAAAACCACCAGGTGCCTCTGCATTCTACAGCAACCAGGTCTCCCAATGCCTTAGCAAAAATAAGGGAAGCAGCTCTACAAAGGGCACCAAGAGGATAAACAACCTGTAACATCCATCTGAAAGGAGCTGAAGAAAGCAAAAGGAAAGGAAAAGCAGACAACCTAGAGTTGCCTTAAAGCTCCAGATTTGCTGATTCCAGCCCAACACCAAGCAAGCTGCCAGAACCCTACAACCTCCAACTGCCAACATCGGAGGCCCCAACACACAAAGCCAGTGACCAGGCCCTAGGCTCCCAACACAACAAGCTTGGGTCAGTGTCCTCTGCTCCCCAGCAGGACAGCTCAGTCTGTTTAAGGCCAGGAAATAAGCAAACACCATGAGCAAAAAGAAACGTACCATAGAGTCATTATGAGAACAGTAAAGATCAAGGCAGAAATTCTGAAGAGGATGACATTGTCAACAAACCCACATCTGGAACCTCAACAGGGAATAAGAACTGGTCTGAAGCCCAAAAAGCCTTCTTAAAAGAGGAAGTCAAATGAGAAGAGGAAGGAAAAATGAGAGGTATGCAAGAGAGAGTCAGTAGCCTGGAAAAAGGACAAATATTAATTGTAGAAAACAAATCCTTAAAAAATGCAATTTACTAACTCAAAAAAAAGTACACTGAAGAAAATAAGGCCCTAAAAAATACAATTGGACAACTGGAGAAGGAGGTACAAAGTCTAATAGAAAAAAACAATTTGTTAAAAATTAGAATTGGGCAAATGGAAGCTAATGACTCTATGAGCAAGAATCAAACAGAAAGAAATGAATGAAAAAATTGATGAAAACGTAAAATACCTCATTGGTAAACAACTGACCTGGAAAACTGATCCAGCAGAGACAATTAAAAAATTATTGGTCTACCTGAAAATCATGATGAACAAAAGAGCCTGGACAGTATCTTTCAGGAAATCATAAAAAAAACTGCCCTGAGGTCCTAGAACCAGAAAATCCACCAATCACCCCTGAAAGAGATCCCAAATTGAAAAAGCCAAGGAAATATTAGCCAAATTCCAAAATTACCAGGTCAAAGAGAAAATACTGCAAGCATCCAGAAAGAAACAATTTAAATATCATGGAACCACAATCAGGACAGGACCTTGCAGCTTCTACATTAAGACCATAGGGCATGGAATATGTATTCCAAAGGCAAAGGAGCTTGCATTATAACCAAGGATCAACTCCCAGTGAAAATGAGCATGATCTTTCAGGGAGGAGATGGATATTCAACGAAATAGGGACTTCCAAACCTTCCTGATAAAAAGACCAGAGCTCAACAGAAAATTTGATCTTCAAATACAGACTCAAGAAGACTAAAAGGTAAATGGGACAGAAAATACAATATGTTGTAATAAGGGCAACTGTTTACATCTACAAGGGAAGATGACACTTGTAATCTTGAGAACTGTATTGTTATTACACCATGTTAAAGGAGTATACATAAAGGGGTGGATATAAGTTGACTTTGATGTAATGTAAAAAAAAAATCTAATCAAGTGGGTTAAATGGATCCAAGTAAGTGGATCAATCTGATCTAGAAAATGTACTGAGAAAGGAAAGGAGGAGGCAGACAAGGGTAAATTACATTAGGAAAAACACAAAAACCTATTACAGCAGAGGGAAAGAAGGAGGGGATGCATTGTTTGAACCTTACTTCATCAGATTTGGCTCAAGAAGGGAATAACATAATCAGGGTATAGAAATCTAACTTGCCCTATAGGCAGTAGGAGGGAAAAGGGGAAAGAAAAGGAGAGGGGATAAAAGGAGGGAAGAAGTAGTAGGGGAAAAGGGAAGAAAAGGGAAGGGAGAAGGACTGAAGAGGTGGTGGTCAAAAGCAAAACACTAGTGAGGAGGGAAAAAGGAGAAAAAAGTAAAGGGGGGGGAGGATAGAAAAAGACACAGATAGTAATCATAACTGTGAATGTGAATGGGATGAACTCTCCCATAAAACAGATGGTAGCAGAATGGATTAAAAACCATAATCCTACAATATGTTGTTTACAGGAAACACATTTGAAAAACAGTGACAAACACAGGGTAAAGGTAAAAGGCTGGAGCAGAATATATTATGCTTCAGCTGAAGTAAAAAAAGCAGGGGTAGCAATCCTGATCTCAGACAAAGCAAAAGCAAAAATAGATCTAATCAAAAGAGATAAGGAAGGAAACTATCGCTAAAAGGCACCATAGACAATGAAGTAATATCATTACTAAACATATATGCACCAAATGGTATAGCATCCAAATTCTTAGAGGAGAAGTTCAGGGAGTTACAGGAAGAAACAGCAAAACTATACTAGTGGGGGACCTGAACCTCCCCTCTCTGACTAGATAAATCTAACCACAAAATAAGTTAAGGAGGTGAATAGAACATTAGAAAAGTTAGGTATGATAGACCTCTGGAGAAAACTGAATGGGGATAGAAAGGAATATACTTTTTTCTCGGCAGTACATAGCACAAACAAAAAAATTGACCATGTACTAGGGCATAAAAACCTCACAATCCAATACAGAAAGGTAGAAATATTAAATGCATCCTTTTCAGATCATGATGCAATAAAAATTATATGTAATAAAGGGCCATGGAAAGATAGACTAAAAAATAGTTGGAAACTCAAATAATCCTAAAAAATGATTGGGTCAAACAACAAATCATAGAAACAATCAATAATTTCATTCAAGAGAATGACAATAATGAGACAACATACCAAAACCTATGGGATGCAGCGAAAGCAGTTCTTAGGGGAAGTTTTATATCTCTAAATGCTTACATAAATAAAATAGAAAAAGAGGAGATTAATGAATTGGGCATACAACTAAAAAAACTAGAAAAAGAACAAATTAAAAATCCTCAACTAAACACCAAATTAGAAATATTGAAAACCAAAGGAAAAATTAATAAAATTGAAATTAAGAAAACTATTGAACTAATAAATAAAACTAAGAGCTGGTTTTATGAAAAAATCAATAAAATAATAAGCCTTTGGTTAATTTAATTTAAAAAAAAAGAAGAAAACCAAATTACTAGTATCAAGAATGAAAGGGCAAGCTACACCAAGGAAGAGGAAATTAAAACAATAATTAGAAATTATTTTGCCCAACTATATGCCAACAAATTTGACAATCTTAGTGAAATGGATACATATTTACAAAAATATAAATTGCCCAGATTAACCGAAGAGGAAGTAAAATACTTAAATAACCCCATCTCAGAAAAAGAAATTGAACAAGCCATTGATGAACTCCCTAGGAAAAAATCTCCAGGGCCAGATGGATTTACATGTGAATTCTATCAAACATTTAAAGAACAATTAATTCCAATACTATATAGACTATTTGGGAAAATAGGTGAAGAAGGAGTCTTACCAAATTCTTTTATGATACAAATATGGTGTTGATACCTAAACCAGGAAGAGTCAAAATAGAGAAAAAAATT